TGATGCTGCTTGGCCTGCTGTGTTCATCCAGCTCTACACCTTGTTATCTCAGATTCTCCAGTATCTGCAGTTCCTACTATCTCTCTACTCTTCTTCTACCTTGTGTTGAGCTTCACTGCAGCACTGAAGCAAGCCCAAGACAGAAATAAAAACCAAAAGAACTGTGGATGCTGTAAATCAGGACCAAAAACAGAAGTTGCTGGAAGCTCAGCAGGTCTGGCAGCATCTGTGAAGAAAAAGATCAAGGTTAATGTTTTGGGTCTGGTGACTCTTCCTCAGAACTGATGGCGGCTGGGGTTATATGCAGAAAATAGGGAGGGGTTTCGGGTGGGGAGTAAACGATAGGATAGAGCCCGAAGAGAGAGAAGAGCATTTGGACAGACAAAGGAGTTGCTAATGATCAGGTTGGGAGGGTGAATAGTTGTTAAGGGGACTGTTAGTGACTAACAACAGGTGGTATGTAATGGCAGGCTGTGTGGTAACAAGGCCTGGTGTGTGAGGTAAGGGGCTGCGACATGGGAGAGTTTAGGCCCTAAAATTATTGAACTCGATATTGAGTCCAGAGGGCTGCAGGATCCCCAAGTGGAAAATGAGGTGTTGTTCTTCCAGCTTGCGTTGAGTTTCGCTGGAACACTGCAACACGCCAGAGACAGAGATGTTGGCCAGGGAGCAGGGTGGTGTGTTAAAGTGGCAGGCAGCAGGTAGCTCAAGGTCTTTTTTGCGAGCAGAACGTAGATGTTCTTGAAATGGTCACCCAGTCTACGCTTCATTTCCCCAATGTAGAGGAGACCACATTGTGAGCAGTGAATGCAGTAGACTAGATTCTGGGAAGTGCAGGCGAAGTGTTGTTGGAAGTGTTCTGCCACCTCCAGCGAGATACCACCATCAGACACATATTCCCCTCCCCTCCCATGTCCACCTTCCACAGGTACCGTTCCCTCCGGAACACCCTTGTCCACTCTTCCTCCATCCCAACACTCCCCCACAGCCCTATGGCACCTTCCCCTGGAACCGGTGAAGGTGCAATACCAGCCCAGTTACCTCCTCCCTCCCCAGTATCCAAGGGCCCAAACATACCTTCCAGGTGAAGCAACACTGACTTATTACATTGGCGCTGAGAGTAAAGAAAAGTTTTGTACAGCCTTGCCTTTCAATTAACCTGGTAAGACCCAGTAACAGAGAAGTATTGGAAATGCCGCTGTTATGTGAAACTGGAATCTTATTGTCTGGGTGTGGAGGGTTGGCCCCAGAATATTGAAACAACGAGATACTTTCTTCAGGCAAATGGGATAAAAGAGGATCACCGACAAAATGTCATTCTCCTGATCACTTATGGGCCCTGACTTTCAGCATCATAAAGAGTTTAAATTACCCGACAAATCCAGAGTCAAAATCCTTTGACAAACTGATACATAGTGGACCACTGTGACCCCAACCATCTGTTATATTACAGTGTTACAGGTATAACACAGTAAGTAAACTTCCTGAGGAACCAGTTACTAAATTCTTGATAAGACTGTAGAAATTGGTGGAACACTGCGAGTATGTGTCAGCGCTTTAGGAAAAGTTAGGGGATCGCATAATTTATGGAACTAATAATATTGTGACCAAAAGGAAGCTATTGACTGAACTAGGTCTGGACATCAGGAAGGCTATAAAACTGGCCTTTTCCCACAAAAATGCGGCAAAAGGGCTCAAGGACTTCAGGAGTTCATAGACCGTACTATTCTCAACCCTCGGCTGCCCCACTTCGCAAAGTCAAGACCCCGTTGGACAATACTCACAGCTCCCGTTGGTTACCAAGGAAGGGTGATTGGAGTCGAAGGCTGCAAGATTCCAGAACTGAATTGGAATTTTCTCCACACTACAGTGAGGACCAACAATACCGCATCCGTAGTTCTTTCAGTTATTATCCAACAATATATTTGTCACACTTGTAGTCATAGGGTGCAGTCAATCCTCCTGAACAGGAAAAAGGCATACTGCCCCAGCCAATGGGTGAATCACCTCAATTTGCAAATAAATCAGTCTGAAGATAAATGATTGATACAGTCAAGTTACATCAAATGTTCCCAAAGTGGCCCCCAATTAAGATTATCATTCAGGTAAACGGCCACCCCCAGACACGGAAGTAGAAACACGTACCATTGTATCTATTGTTGGGTCGGAAACCTTTAAGAGAGTTCGATGGGGCTTCTTGCTTTTAAGCCAGTGTGACATCAAGGCTAGATTTGCCACATGCTCTGGGG